ATATTCGCTATACGCTCAAAAAAAGCATGACTGTGTGTGTGTGTGTGTGTGTGTGTGTGTGCGTGTGTGTGTGTGTGTGTGTGTGTGTGTCTTTTTTACTGTCACTGTGTAATGAATGGGTGTGCGTGCGCATGAATCCCTGAGGCCACGGGCTTTTCAGAGAAGCCACAACAGCAATAAAAAAATGCCGAAACCGAGAGATATGGGTTAACTGAGTTAACTCCCAATTACAATATCCTTCTCTACTAGTTCTAATAGGAATAAGAAGACGAACTCGGAAAAAAAAAAAAAAAAAAAAAAAAAAAAACGAGACACTGCGATGCACAAGGCTGAAAGCAAGCACATCGATTGACATACACCATTCCCTGACTGGACTTTCGACAGATTTTTATTATAATAATATTGTCGTAGAGAGCAGAAATGAAAAGAAAGTCACCAAGTCGAACCCCATCATCAAATACGGGCTTGTGATCACAACCCAGATTTGATGACCGGCTCATGTATCCACCAACAAACAAACAAAAAAAAAAAAAACCATCACACCCATCGTCTTTCACAAGTCTCCTGAGACAGTGCATGCAATCACTAAGTCCTCTCCCAACAGAACAAGCAGTACGCACACTGCCAAATCTTCCCCCCGACTTCGCTATAGAGTTTGTATAGACGTCATAGCCAACCTATCATTTATTATATATTCATGTACATCAGAAACAAACAGAAGAAAGATGTGAAAGCGCAGAAGCGGCTCCAAGCAACTTACGCCACCGTCAAAATCAGAGGGGGGGCAGAGGGAGCCCTGAGGGGGGAGGAGGCACAAACCTTAAACCGTCCGACCGTCAGTACATAGCCCCAGCCTTGCTGAAAAAGAAACTCGTCGCCTACGAAAATATCCAAGGCTTCGCCTACCGGACCTCAATGGCTGGCCGCGCCAGCCTAAAATGAAAACGAGTGCAACGCCGCCGGTTCCGAAAAGCTCGGCACGCACTACGGCCCCTGCCGGCCTCTGGCTGTACCTGTGGTTTAAATGGATGGGATCATAAACGACGGCTCCGCACTGACGAAGGGCAAGTGCGCTCTTCCCTCCTTTTGCATGAACCTTCTTTTTCTTTTTCTTTCTCTTTTTTTAATATTTGCATCCACCTTCGCAAATGGATGGGACTTCTTCAACAATTGCGTCAGCGCCCCTCAGTCGGAGTTGTCAATGTGATCAGGCCGCCCCCACTTTGCCGATCCGACTGCTCACCTCATGAATCAACATCATTGGTGCGAGAGCGCAAGTGTTCGAATCCTGCTCGTCACCATCAGTGAGCATAAAATTGTCACTAGCAACTGATACAGTGTCCGTGCATCTCCGACGAACGCACCGTCCAACGCAAGAACAATAGATGAAACCCTCCGCACGCAATTATTTTCATGATGCAGCTCATATCAAGTTCTGCACCTTGAGTTGCAGGCTCTGCCATCGGGACACCAGCTCTCCCCTCTTCTCACAGACCACGCAAGGAAAGTACCCATGGGCCATGGCCCAACTCCATAATACTTGTGAAAATACTCTTTCACCACCCTACCTCACAAATCTCTCTCTCTCTCTCTCTCTCTCTCTCTCTGCAGGACATAAATCTATCTACCACTCGCGTAGCAAAATCAAGCGCAAAGAAGTTTTACAACTTGTACACTTATTATAGTTTACGCCGCCCTATCTGGGCTACGTCTTCCCCCCCCCGGCCCCCCCCCGGGACCGCCTTCGTCCCCCAGGCTGCCTGGACTGGTGGGTGTTGCAAAATTACAGCAAACAGAAATGTAGACAACCAGTAGGGAATAGGAATATCCCAATTCTCAGGGCAAGCCTGCCCACCAACTGAACCTAGAACTTATCAGGTCCTTGTCATCTCACAGTCATCATCCCCCCTGGGCCAAATTGCCCACCATGATTCACTCTCCTTTACAAACACCTCCCCCCTGGGCCAAATTGCCCCCATAGCCATCAACCATTAACCTCCACTGAATGTTGCAGCCCCGACGCCTCTTCAACAAGGATGAATACCTAATCTCCTCGACATAGATTTTATGGATTCTCCTTAAGGCAAGCTGCCCCAACAGCCATCATCGGGCTCCAATGAAGTCTCTTCCAACCAATACCTCTTCACCGAGGATGAAAACCCGATCTCCTTGACATACCGACTACGGATTTTCCTTAAGACAAATTGCCTCAATAGCCACCGTCAACCTCTAATCAATTGAATAAAGTCCCCACCCCCGGTACTTCTTCAACCAGGGTGAAAACACGATCTCCTCGACGTACAGATTACAGATTCTCTCCTTTAGTCCCCCCCMCCCCCCYCCCCACAAATTGTCCCAATAGCCATCATCGACCTGCATGCCAGTCCCCCTCTCCCCCCCCCCCTTCCTTCCTCCTCCAACAAGGACAAAAATCTAGTCTCTTGGTGTCGATCGTACCTCAAGATGACAGATAGATTTGCTCCCACTGGATATAAACCATGGATGCTGTCTATCACCGCGGTGTAACTGCCACGGTCGCTACCACCTCCTGCGTTGTAAGCTCAGGAAATTAAAACTGCAAAGCACCATTCCCCTCGAGAACGCACCTGTGTCCCAAAACTGTGTCAAATTTTCCCCTCCCGTTTTCTTCACTGCTCCCAAATGCTCTTCGTTAACCAAACCTCGTTTGCTCCCGCCTTTCCCTTCCACGAATCCGATGCACCTCGACCGAATCAACACCCGATTTTGAAAATCTCATTCAGAAATGCTCAGCCTCCGAATGCCCTATACTCAGGAACAGTCGCACTACTATACTACCTAGTGTTATCGAACCAACAGTCAAACCAACAGTCAAACCGACCGTCAAACCACGAATTAAGGCCATTGAAGATAGGTGTGATCGATCCGCCAAGACGTCACATACACCATGGCTCACACCATCAACAACGGATGCCCTGCAAAGGCATGTCCCTGCACGTGTGCACATCCCCCGAACCACAGTGGCCAACATCTGAACCTGGACATGAAATCCAACCCCCCCCCCCCAATCGTCCGTGCAGAGGATGGTCAACCCTTTCCACTTCCACGTGAGCGCCGCAGAGAGTGGAAAAGAGCGTCGCAAACAGACTCTGGTCTTCGCTCCACCACTCGCCAAATGCATACAATGCATGAGTTTTCCGCTGGAACATGGGGCAGATACACCGCCATATATTTTTTGTTTTTTGCGCATGTCGAGTGTAGTGGAGCGAGGCCCTTTTACCAGAACTTTGACATGTTCCTGCAAAGCCAGCCTCAATGTTGCATCAGTAACAATCGCGCGATCGGGCAGCGGCTAGTTCATCCATCATGATAGAGAACTCCGCCAGGCGCGATCATCATCTGAAGTGGTAGAAAACTCTAATCAATCAAAAGTCTGTATGTGTTCCGGCACCCAATGTGAGGGGAGCCCCCGATTGTCGTACGGAAACAACTTCCACGGCGCTTGGGATTAGGCAAACTAGCCATCCATGAAGGACGGCTTCCCCTCTCGTGACTCACTCAGCATCTGAAGTGTTAGAAAGTCAAAAGCCGGCCTGCATTCCGCGACGAAATCATGTGCAGCAGGCAAGTCAGTAACTAAACAGACCCTAAACACAAACAAAATGAGGGGGAGGGGGATAATAAATTCATTAATAGTAGAACTTAAACCTCACCCTCCTGTACTGTCGGCGGACTCGTTGTAACCTCCTGATCTGAGACTCCAAGGATTCAGAATCGGACCATCCCTGAATTCGAAGCCTTAGACTTTCCAGCGCCGGGCTCGACGCCAAGAAGAAAGCGAGCACGGCAACAGTGTCGGCTGTCACGGCATTCACTGCCAAGTCCAGGCTCCTAAGCTTCGGAAGCAAGGGCCGAAACCCGTGCCTTCTCCTTCCGTCTTCGCCCCAGATAATTGGCATCGGCGATGCCTCGCCCTCGCTGTCCCTCAGGACACCGATTTCCGGGCCACCAGGCCTCGTCCTCAATCCCCGCTCAAGGCTGGAAATGAAGCAAGGCTGCTCAATCACAAGCCTTCGCAACTCCCCCAGGTGTCGACAAAATTCCCAAGGGTGCACAGGAACCGGTGCAAGCTCGCCGAACGTGGGCGCTTCTTCATCCTCCTCTGCCTCCTCGAAGAATGCCAACTTCCAGATCAGCTTCCTTAGGCTCAATCGAAACCGCTGCAGAAGCATTTCAAACTTCTTCCACCACACGTGCCCATTCACGTCGAAGGGTATCACCGACCCTACATCCAGCATCGATACCACGGTGATGTCGCTATGCAACTCCCAGTCGACGTCCGGTGTCCAAGCTTCAAGCGTCAGAGACGCTAGCTTGCTGCTTCTCCGAACAACGAGAGACTCGGCAGCCTCGACGCACAACGTCTGAAGTGCGGGGGCATCCACGACGAGCTCGCGCAAAGCACAACCCTCTGCAGTTGGGGAGTTTGACTGATGAAGGCGGATCATAAGGCACTCTAGGGTGGGGGAGAACACCTGTACACTCTCGGCATCTAAGCCACACACAGAATCAAGAATCAAAACTCGCAAAACGGGTAGCAGCGAGAGTAAGGAAGACAAATGTGCCTCGCCCTCGACAAGCACATTCCCTACCTGCAAACTCTCCAACTGCCGGAAAGGCCCCAGCGACAGCGGCAGGGGACCAAGCTCGCACATGTATTCTTGCTCGCTCTCTTTTCTGCACCATACCTCTAGCGACCGCAGCCTCTTGCAGTGCTCCAGCACATGACTCGAGATGACCAACGACGTTGCCAACCCCTCGTTCGGAAGAGGGCACATCTCCAGGTGCAGATTCTCAAGGGACATCCCCGCGCAAGAAAGCCAAGTGCCAAGCTCCTCTTCATCAACATCCTCACACACTATCTCCAAGCTCTTCAGGCCATCATTCTCAACAACCATCCTCCCTACAGCATCCTGGAACCTTGTCTGCTCCACATCAGGAGAGCCAAGGTGATAAAAATCGGATATTGTAAATCGGAGATGGGGAACCTGCAGCGCAGAAGCAGAAACCAATCGATCAATCAATCAATCAATCAGTCAATCAGTCAAGCAATCAATCAATCAGTAAATCAATCACTCAATCAATCAATCAGTCGATCAATCAATCAAACAATCGAGCAATCAATGACAGCAGGTCATTTGAATCAACCTGCTGAGGATCCAGCTTTCAACTTAGAACAAAAAATCTTCTCCATGGAAACAAGCTGTAGGAAACCAGCAAGAGTTTCTTCGACTGACAAGCAGAGTGGTCGGGCTTCCGACATCAGCTGCAATTTACTTGCCAGTCCTAAGTAATACTTGTCCAGAATCATAGACTTGCTAGATTAATACTTGTTATTATCAAGTTGTTAAGTTGTTATTACTTATTAAATATAAAAAAACTTGCCCAATTTACAAAGCGGCAACCCTGCCGGAAGAGTCAGGCCAGACCAGTGGTATGTTCATGTTAAGGAAACATGAATCTGGCCATGTTAAAGGCCAGGTTCTGGCCAGGACTTTTTTACCTTGATTTGTTGCGAGATTCATCATTGAGATCAAACAAACATTTGCTCCTCATTCAGTCCGTAAGAAGGGCACACTCACACTGGGACTTTTTCTACTTGTTTGAGGACGTGATTGTGGTTAGATGCATGCAAGTACGGCCATAAAGAGGGTCAGATACGTTAAAGATAAGAGTCAGTGTCAGTACACCCAAAGTTCCGTCATCTCCTGTTGGGGTTCAGCGGTATTCAGATCCACAACCTGTCCCGAGTATCTTCCACATTTAAACCACTAGTACCGTTAGCGTCCGGTTTCGCCAAGTACTTGCCTGCTCCCAAACTTTCAGGAGGCCGAGCCCGACGTTGATCGATCTGATCGGCGGCCGTCATTTCGTTTCGGCCTCCTGAAAGGTCGGAGGCCGAGTATTTTCGAACCGACAAAGGTACTGCTGGTTTAACTTTGTTCACTGCTTCGCTCTCTTCGACTTTCCAACCAGGGGTCCTCGACATAGAGTCGTCAGTGGGTTTTATAACTTTTATTCCATTGGCTTATTTTAGAGTGATAGAGTTACAGACACTTCAGACCAGCAGACTCCGTACTTTCCCTCGTACAGCCAGTAGCATGTATGCCTACCGTCTTCATCCGATTAGGATGTGTACTGTGTACAAATTGTACAATCATTATCGCAAAATCCCCGCACCAGAAAACCGCTAGTGACCCAGCCCATGTGGCTTTCTTTCTTGGTATTCCACTGACTTACGTGAGTGACAGAGGTAGAGTCCCTTCCGGGCAGCAGATTCCCGACTTTCCTTCGTACAGCAAGTAGCATGTACTCCTACCGTCTTCATCCGAATAGGATTTACGGTCATTATCGCAGTATCTGGATGCTATAAAACCCTAATCACCAAGCCCATGTGGGTGAGTGGTACACCCACGAGCTGTTCATAGATAAAAAAGGATCTAAGGTTCAAATTCTGATGGACTCGGAGGAATAAAATACCCCTAAACTACTTGGGGGTCGTCAGTCAGATGGATGAACCGCTAATGACCCAGCACATGTGGCTGAGTGGTACACCCATGAACTGTTTGTTTATAGATAAAAAGATCGGTGTTTATAGATAAAAAGATCTCTGTTTATAGATTAAAAAATCTGAAGTTCAAATGCTGATGGTACCCGATGAATAAACAACCCATCCATCTGACCTGGGGCCCGTCGGTCAGATGGACGACGATACCTCAAGACCCTTGGCCTAAACAGAAAAAGAAAAACAAGAGAAAACGGCTCATGTAAGAAATCTCAAATCACCCAACGACGGACTAGCTCAGTTGGTATACCCGTGAACGGCCCAAACCCCAGTTCAAATTCTAAAATTAAGTCTGAACTGACCCGGGGACGTCAGCTCTAAGATGACATGGACGACCGTGAGGGGAATATATTGTCGCACTGTGAATCGGAGCACGAAGGCGAAGAAAAGCAAAACAAGGAAAGGAAAAGAAGGCAGGAAGGAAAGCCCCACCTGTTCATCACCTCTTACGTACAAGGCCAGCCACGTAGATGACAGGTTGAGCGCTGGCTGCGCCAATCCATCCCCGTGTGTCACAAGGACCCACTTGCACGCAGCCAAAAGGCACAAAAAAGAGGTAAAGAAAAGAAGAGGAGGAAAAAAAGACCTCACAGAGGCAAGAGAAAGAGAAAGGTGAAAGAAAACTTAGAAAAGACAGGAAGAAAGCAAATGACACATCCCACAGATAAACCAATTGCCACTGTCACTACAAAGTTCAACATTTTTTTTTCTTTCTTTCTTTTTCTTGTTTTTTTTTTCTTTTTTCTTTTCTCCAGAAATTTGTACTTTTTCTCTTTCTTTCTTTCTTTTATCTGTCCTACAATTAGTGTTGCTCCTGATCGCTTGATTCTATTGACCAGTCAGGAAGAGGAAGAGGAGCCCCCACCCCACCCCGGCAGATAGGACAGGCACGCTGAAGATGACGTGGATGTTCACAAGGATACCCAAGGAGAGCTACTTCAGCACCACAGCATTCAGCAGGACGGCTAGCACGGACCATCCCAAAACAGTCCTGACAAAGGACATGCTATCCACATGTCAAAAAAACAGCAGGACGTTCATCACGGTGCGGCATCATGCAGTCCTCATAGCGTCCTTGAGCACAAAAGGGACAGCGAATGTCTGGGTGATAGGGATGTGTACAATGAGGAAATGTTGGACACCCTTCGGCACAGACGGCGGCGGCGGCAGTAGATTGATAATGTTGATGGCATAGGTGATGAATTCCGCACGCAGCCAAGACGCACCGCGTCCCTGTCCCGACAGGTGTCACACGAGAGATGGTCGATCAGTAATCCAGAATAAACTTCAATAAAGTACGCTTCGGTAATGCACACAGAAATTAATTTATGTTGAAAATAGCCTGAATCATTGTCCCACCACCCACAGTTCCCACTGGGCAGCTGCACGAAAGAGTGCCATATAATGCCCGGGGTCTGTGCAAAATACAGGCAGAAACATGAGGATGGCCATTAAGAAAGAGAGAGTACATGCCTCCCTGTGCGTCCTTGCCCTGCCCCCACAACCACCTTTCTCCCTGACTGCCACCGTCCTCCCACCACCAATGGCAACATCTTCCCGTCGCAGCAGCAATCCCAGCTGTGGCACATGAGTGTGAGAGGAAATGCAAGAGAGAGAGAGAGAGAGAGAGAGAACAATGCCAACGAGCCCGCCCACAGCCGTCCTCTGTTGACATGCCGGCCGGGAGCACCTTTCCTCGCTGCCGCCAACATCTGAATGGTGGCACACGCTGAGAGAGAGAGAGAGAGAGAGAGAGAGCAGGAACTGCCAAACCTTCCTCCACAGCTGGCACCACCATCACACTCCCCCCACCATCCCAATGGTGGCTCATGAAAGAGAGACAGGCACAGAGACTCAGAGAGACAGGGGTTGTTCTTTTTCGGCAGGCACGTGGAGGATGAGGAGAGGGTGAGGTAAATTGAGAACATGAAGTTTGCGAGGCAGAAAGGTGCAGGGAGGAGACGGAAGAGGGTGCAGGGGAGGAGGGGTATGTTGTGGAGAAAGAAGAAGAAAACAAGAGACAAGGGGAAGATCTACACTAAAGGGAATGAGCTCATGGAAGAGGAAGAGGAACACAAGTGGGACCCTTCATTTATCATGAGAGATCGGTTGATGAATGGAGAGAGAGAGAGAGGGAGGGAGAGGGAGGGAGAGCGACAGAGAAAGTGGGAGAGAGAGAAATATTGAGCGGCCACCACCCTCTGCTGCCCGCTGCTACCACAAATGCGTCACCTATCATATTTTCGTTTGTGAGCGAACCCGCAGCATGTGATCTAGCACAACTGAAAGTTGCTCCGCGCTGATATATATTGTCACATCACTACAAACTACAAGAGCGCACTTTGCGGAACAAAGAATAAAAGCAAAAAACGGGCACAGTGATAACATGCAAAAATAAAAATAAAAAGAAAAAACAAGGGCAGATTGAAACCATTAAATTTCTCATTCTTCTTTGAACTCCACCTCCACTGTGCCTCTCACGTGCAAGGCTCGCCATATATATATCGTCAAATAGAACTGCCCGGTAAACCGTAGGCAGAGAGAGAGAAGAGGACAACAAACGAGGGGCTGTGACAAACTGTTTTTTATATATATATCGTCACAAATAGAACTGCCCGGTAAAACCGTAGGCAGAGAGAGAGAAGAGGACAACAAACGATGGGCTGTGACAAACTGTTTCGTCGGAGTTTCACCGACTCATCAGGAGGCTGAACCCTCAACAGTCTGCAGAATCCCCTCACTGATTACACTGTAAATGATAATCTACCTTAACCAAAATCAAA